GGGCAGCCGTGCACAGCAAGCTGCACGGGGACAGCGCGGTTTGTCGCAGCGACGTCTCCTTGTTACAAGAGGGAATGCGGTTGTGGGCGACACCTGCACGGGTTAGGGAAACACCAGCTTTCTGGGTTCAGCTGCTTGCGAGGGAAAACATCCCGCGCAGCAGTTTAGAGGAGACATTCCCCGTCTTCTCCATCAGCTGGGGTCACAGCCTCAGGCTCGTGCACAGGCTGAGCCCTTTAGCACGCAGGGGGTCACAGCACGTACTAAAGCTGGAGGGAGACAAGGACATGAGGCTGCTCCATGCCCAGTGTCTGGACTCTGGGCTGCTGGAGTGCCGAGCTCCAGCAGGGAGAGAAAGCAACAGAGAAACGGGAGCTGGAGGCTGTGTGAAGCCCCGTGTCCCACCTTCACGGTGGACTGATCCTCCCCAGCACCCACCGCTGAACACTTAGTGGTCTGCTGCACTTCAGAGCCGAGCGAGCACTCGCTGCTGCCCCGACGGCCGCAGCAGGAGGGTTGGAGGCCCTGGGCCCCAGCCTGCTGGCATCTGCCCTGCCAGGTATCCCCAGGTCACCTCTACGAGCCAAGAGGAAAGCCGTGAGGAATAATTTTTTATTCTGTCATCGCTGTCGTCTAGTCCGCAGAGACCTGCTCGGGTTTGTCCAGCTCGCGCCCAGACCAGGAGAGCGGCAGAGCCTGCACTCCTCCAGGAACTAAGCTACAGTACGAGCTGGTCCCGGTGAGGGTCGGTTTTGTTGGGGACGGTTGTAGCCCCGTATTCGTACGAACGACAAAAGCTCCGCTCAGACTGCGGCTGCTAACCTTCAACACTGCACTTGGAAGCAAAAGCACCTGACCCAGAACTTGCAGATAGCAGGGGGACAGGGGGACCTGTGTCCCCTGCGGGGCCACCGCAGCTGTGCCCCTTGCCCTCTGCATGCATTTTTGCTGGGTTCTAGTATTATTACACCGAAAAATCCCTCCACATTCACAGACACAGCCCCAAAACAAGGGGAGTAGCAATCCTCCTGCCCCACGGCTCACGAGTTAGTGAGACGTCGTTGCTGCGGTGCCTCCTCTGACCCAGGCCGAGCCCTGCCGCCGCGCAGAGGGCTCTCGCCTCCGTGCCTCCACTTTCCATGCTGCCTTAAAAGGTCCGGTAAGTGAGGAATTCCTTCAGTTTCCTGGGAATGGGGAGCGCGAGGACTTGGTACGTCGTCAGGAATGTGCGCAGCGCTTTGCGACACAAGTGCTTTAGCGACGAGAGGACCCTTGGAGCGGTCCAGAATTGGACGTGGCCATCTCTGGTCCTGCAATGGGACCCAAACAAGCCGTGAGCATAGGACAGGGCGACACAAGAAAACTCAATTACCCCCAAATATCCCGAGCTTGCAGCAACCACACGTTCCCCAGCCCAGGAAACCAGCCTGCACCCCCAGGGAAGCCCAGAATTTGCTGAGCAGACCCAGAGCTGCAGGAGGAGGGAGCAGCCACGTGTTTCTCCACTCTCTTCTCCCGCATACGCACCCTGTGGCAATGAAACCGCCGTGTGGAAAGTACATGCAGCACAGGCCGTTGGTCATGGGAGCAAACGCAACCGGAGACCGCAGCTCCAACGCCCAGATCCTCAGGAGCCTAAGGAGAAAGGGAAGGGACACGATGCCAGGCCCACATCCACGCAGGGCCTGCAGCTAAAATAAAGCCTCTGGGTTCACCTGAATGCATGCAAACTCTGGAGTAGGATTTTCTTCCCATGGGCTTAGAGCATCCCAGGAGTGTCACAACACGGCAGCAAGGCAGGAGGCACTGTCCCCTGTAGGGCTGAGCTGGATGCAGACAGAGCTAGTGACTGTGCTGAGGGGCACAGCGAGGACGGCACAGCACGCAGAGGACACGAGCCCCAGCTCATCGCTCAGAGGGGCGACAGGGCCCTGACCTT